AGCTCGGTTTTTCAACGTCATTGAGGATCTGAGATCGTTCGAAAATGTAAAGTCAGCAGTTCGCTGAAGAAACAGTCAGACGCCGTCGTGCTTAGACTGGGTATTTTTAAAAACGAAGTTTGACGGAAGAACTTCCCACATAATCTTCAGCAGTTTCATTCGTTTCCGCCTACAGTACGGAAAAATAGTACTTCCTCCCTCACTCCGAATGGATAAGGACACTCTGGAGCGTATTCAACGGCGAGCCACCCAATCAGTTCGAGGACTCAAATTCAAGCCTTATTAAGAGCGCCGCCATTCACTAAACCTTTACTCATCACAGTATTGACATCTTGGAAGTGACCTTCTAACGGCTTACAGTATCCTTAACACTTATGGACATCCCCTAAAACACCTAATTAAGCTTAGTTCTAACGCATACTTAAGGGGTAACACCCAGAAACTGGAGACACAACACAGCAGAATGGACTTTAGACACAACTTCTAATCCCTAAGAGTTGTCAAATTCTGGAATTCGCTGCCGGCTGAGCTAGTCTAAGCGATTTTTCAGGAGTCCTTTAGGAGGAAACTTGACCTATACTTAAGGACTAAGGATGATATCTTACTACGATTTACCAAATTCTTTTCCCCTTATTATTATTAATATGCCTAGGTTCCTGCCTGGAGGTATTGGTGATCCACTGCTACTAGACACGGAAGACCACTAAATGAAAGTTTCTTCTATTTCAATCATAACCATCTGAACAATTGTTTAAATATAGTAATTTGTAAGTTTCTATGCTACCAACATGAAACTTGTTTGTGTGCCGTTTGGTTGTTGTTTCCTCGTAACATCTGGAGCTCTATATCATACCAACGAGATATAATGTTTGTAAGTTTGAATGTCCTTCAAAACTTCTAAATATCTTTTATAAACCTCATAAAATGAAAGAAAAAATTCATATCCCTAATTTAACTTCCATGATCGCTTGGTTTTCTACTGTTTCTATTCCATTTGAATAAAATGCGTGTCTATTAGTTTTTGTTTCTTAAAATCAAGTAAGGCAAAGGCGTCGAATAATGACCAAAATGTCTTCGTCTTGCTGGCTACATATTCGTATCTACCCAAGCTCCCAGTTTTGGGGGAAAATTTGGCACATTTCGGGGAAGCCGCTATAGTTAACTTTAGGAAATTTTGGGGAAATGACACAAAACCCCCAAAATTTCTCCATACCTAGGGAAATTCCCTAATATTTTTCCAAAAATCCCCTTTAACCGTGGTCAAGGTCATTTGACTTTGAGAACTTCCCCAAAATACCCCAAAGTTGGTAGTTCGGGTATAATTACATAACCCAGTATTTAAATATATCTGTTTAATCACCTAAAAATATCTGATAAAATGGTGTGATTTATTTATAAATCCGAAGACTATGTAGGGAATTGATCGACCCATACCTCAGTGCTTTCAAAACTGAAGACTGACTGAAAACAGATTGGATCAAATGTTTCTTAATATTTGAAAATGGAACAGAAAATCTGTTTTTAGATTTCTTGAATTCATCGACATGATGGCATTTAATATTGATTTAAGTTCAATTTTAAAGCCCCACAATAGAGAGTGATAATTCAGGACTATGTGCGTTGGTAAGTCCATGAACTCGTTAAAACAAGTTATCTATTAATCGACCTTATCACATACAAACCCAACGATTGGGTAACAAAGCTACAGTCACTTAGCCAAATAGAGGAAAAGATGAGACTTATGATACGATGTTTACAGAATAGTGTAAATCAGTCCGCCTTGGATCTTACCGCAATACTGCTTGGGGCATTAATCCACCTCACAGTAGGCAGAAACGACGAAAAGGCAACGACGTGTGTCCCTATCCTTCCGAGTTCTTACCGAGCCGTTTAGCCGAACAGCGCATAGACGACTGTTAACGGGGATCCATTCTAATAGCGCTTGTTCCGCCCTCATGCTAAGTGCTATGCCTACACCTGCCAGTCCACGAGAACTAGCCATCGGGTCGCCAGATACACGGAGGGTGTATCTCGTTGGCTCTCCGTTTTGCCGAGGTGAGGTCAAGTGAATGACCACACTAGGATCCTGTATGCGTGTTTCGGAGACACAGCATACATCAATGGTACGAGATTCTAAGGTTTTAGCCAAGGAAGCCTGCTGACCGATTTGGCATAGTGTGCGTACGTTGAAGGCTCCAATGTGTAGTTTGGAGCGAGGTTTCAGTAGACCTGGGACAGTGTTTTGAGCATTAGAATCGTTGGCTGTGGTGACACTTGAGGAGGAAGCTAATAGAGGAAGTTTAGTGTATAAAGTCGATGTAGGAGGAATAATAGGAATTGAAGAGGGAGGTTGACTATGAATACAGTGGTCTTGAGTGCTGTTAGAGGTATGAGGGCGGTTATCACTTCCCGGTTGCCCACACCGTGGTGACATGGCTCAGAATCGATCACAATGGCGTCGGTGTATACACTCTCTGTCTTCCTTAAATTAAGAGATTAAAATCGCTTCATATCTGTCTAGGAACTAATTCTTTCTTCCTGTACTATCTCCATATACACAATCTTTCTTCTATATATTACCACCACTGAATTAACTACTCCTATGAATCCGGTGTTCATCTTGTTGTGCTAATGCGGTATGGCAACTTGGACCGATGCATATACGTGCCTGGTCCTACGTTGCAGCTGACTGACTGACTGACCACCTCACAGTCAATGAGGCCTATCATATGTCGCCTAATATGTTTAAAGATCCATACATTTTCGCTAAACCATACAGGTTTTCCATTTTTATTTCGAAAGTTTACTTGTCAATACATTACAATTTCATTGCTTTACGATAACTTAGTGATAACGGAATCATTTAAATCCTGTCAGTCTGTCTAATAATAAAAACCTTGAGACATCCAACATTATATAGTTTGCAGTCTAGTCTCATTTTGTTTCTTTGTTTGTGTATGAAGAGTTTGTGTTTTCATGTTTTAAAAATTTCTCATTTTTAATTTCACCTGAGCTTCTTAAAATTTATCTCGTTGTCTTATAGACTTACCATTTAAAACTGAATTTTTCGTTTTGTGACGTGGCTTTAGATACCTACTTAATGTATCCATTGTCATTACCGTGGGTATTTCTTTATGAAATATCAACAGTATCTTATTTAATTAAAAAAACTTAATATATAACACATATCTAGTTGCTGACACAAAAATCTCACCACAGTATGATTTAGCACTTATCTTTTATTACTAAACTAGGTTTTACAGTGCAGTTTAGTTTGGGTTTTCCTAACGTGCATTGTTGTAATTCACCAGTTCACATGCAAAAGTAGTACTCACATAAAAAGTTACTTAAAACAGTTAGTGATGATTTGTACCTTACTCTAAGTTATATTTGAAAGACTTTTCTGTATACTGGAAACAATTTACCAAAGTTTTAGTAAATTCATGACAGCTATATATTTTTTAAATCTTATGGTTAACAAGACTACCAAGTGTTTACATAATGCTCACGTTTGCCTTCAACTAAACATTAAAAACAAGTTTCAAGCCTCTATTACCAGATTTTATATCCCTCCTGATAGATGTCTGAGGATAATAAAACAGGTAACTAATATTTTTGGAAATGGTAAGCAGCTTCATTTTTGTCAAAACAATTTGTCTGTCTATTGTTTTTGTTTATCGAGTCAGATCACATACGTTAATGACTGTTTTTTTAACTGGAGATCAAAGTAACGATTTTGTATTTGCGACTTAGCATGATATCTTACAATCTTTATCTCTCTCTGTTAAAGATTCTGCGTCTTAAATATATCGTGTGTGATATAAAATCAATTTTAAATTCACACACACCGTTGTTGCTACCTTGACGTGGTGGTCGGGCTTGCCTATCGTGATGAATCAATCGAGCTATACTGGCTGGAACAACTGTTCCTCAAGGTCCTACCATGCCAGACAGGTCGGTTGAAGAGCGGTAAGACTAAAAGCAACAAAACCAAGGTCCGAAGGCGAAGTCGTACTACTGACTGTACAGAGGTGTGACAGCAGTAAGGTGTTTCCTTCAGACAACCAGCATAACAGCGATGCTGCCTTCCCAAAAGGAGGGGAGGGGTTAGAAAAGGTCGACCCTAAAAGTGCACACCTCGCCTTATCCCATGGATATCCGTCTCCGGCGGTAAGGTCTCAACAAGTACGGAGCTAACACAAAAATTACTCATAAAAAGGTCGTGTGTGACCGACCTCAAGCAGCTGTCCCTTGGGCACTGCGGTCACGTTCTCAGGTCACTATGACCACCTCTAATCCGATTTCTTTTTCAGGTACCTCCAGCAAAACCCTTCCACGGTGTGGGCGACCGAGAAGTGATAACCGCCCTCATACCTCTAACAGCACTCAAGACCACTGTAATCGATTTGGAGTGGTTTTCTCTCAAACAACTTTTAACGCAATTTCATTGTACTAATTGATTTACCGTGATTATACGTTTGATTCCAATTTCTCAGTTTGATACAATTCCGCAACTAATGATCATTTGGTAACCAATTTATGATTTCAATAAACTCTGGTGCAATTCAATCCTTTTGGGGCCTCTTTCAGGATAGACTTGTCAGCAAACGGACACTTCTCACTCTAGTTGATGGGCAGAGAAGGGATAGAAATAATCTCACTCATGATATTCAAGTCGGAGTTCTGAATAACTAGTTCAGTGCACAACTGTATCTGTTTGAGAAAAACCTCGAAGGTTGTTTTGATGAACACTAACGAATCGCATTAGAAATAATGCTGATAAATGATATCTAAAGTAAAACATGTCTTACGTTTTTACAACTTGTTACACGTTTTATAGAGAAAAACGTATATGAGGCTGTTTGCTCATTCATGTCTTCAGATTTTCGTCTTTAGTTTAGTAAATTTCTACTTGTTTTTGTTTTTAGCCATTTGTCTTGCATAATGAGTTAAATCGGTCAGTTTGAAAAAAAATTAGAAATCGACTCATTCGATAAACAATGCTTGAACCGTGTTATAATACTCCTGGAAGAATTCCAAGTCCACAATATACCCAACACGTTCCTCCAATCTTATTTCGTAAACGTACTGAAAAAATTGATTGGAAACGCTTAGGTGAGTCTTTGTCCTGCTAAAATCATATATGTATGCATTCTTTAGGTGACATAATACTCGAAAGAGCAGTTCAAGTTCTCTTGACCCAGAGCCTAGTTGTATTTAATTAAAAATTTGTTTTATTACCTGTGATTTTGGTATCTTTTTCTTCATATGTGATTCGTAAAAAAGGGTAAAATTGTTTAATCACTTAAATTGGTTCCAGGCTTTTACTAATTATTATTGCTTCTGAATGTCGAAACGTTTTTTCATGAATCTCAATTACATTTTTCTCTTTGTTTTCTATCCACAGCATCGATTGACATAAATCGTATAACAAAAGATATAGATATTGAAAGCCTACAAGAAATATTATCTTCTGTCACATTCTGTGATATAACTAACGAAATAGTAAGTTGTGTACAAACAATCTTTTAGATAAACAACAAGCAATAATTTACTGATTGATCCAAATCTTAGTCGAATAGTTAAAGACTATGTTATTTTCGTCCACCCTTCATTACCTACACATGTCTTGCTGCAGTTCGAACATTTTAACTACAGCTGATTCCTAACGTAACCTTGAAGTGACAAAAGAACCAGAGAATAGAAACATTTCATTCTGACATGACCCAAAATGTCTAGTGGCTGATTGAGATTATCGTGTGGACTCCAACCAGGTAGTCTGCACCTACCACCACAGCTTAAACCAATAGTCATTGACTTCATGGACTAATCTTACTTTTTGATTCGGCTGCCCTTAACTTTATTCGGCCTACTACAGCGAAAATTGTACATCATGGTAGGCAGTAGTTGATCATAAATAACAAGTTTCTCAGCCCACTCAATTGGTGAAGATTCACAACTGCATCAACTAGTTTGCCATACTTTGTTATCACTCTACTCCTAGCGTCAATATTCTTCGTTCGGTTGTCCCACGATGACCAAAAAATGCTTCGAGAAAATCTATTCTCAAAAACTTACGCCTTCGAAATTTCCCCTACTTTTGAAACCCATGTTTCAGATCTGTATAGTAATAACGAACACATAGTATACTTGTTCTTTCATTTGCCAACAGACATCTCGCCTATCCCATGGGTGACGCGATTTGGCGAATTCCAGGTGAGCTTTCTGAATCAATGCTAAAATTTTGCTAGATACTGACTCATCAGGATGAATGAAACCTCCAATTTAGTTAAGGTGATAATTTGTTACAAAAAGTGTCCGTTCACCATTTTACCGAGGTGGTATCGAATCAACTAGGCTGTTGGTCAACATTTTAATCTACTGTACAAAATATTTAATATTAACGTTATATCCAAAATTACATAAAACTGAAATGATTTTAAAGTTGAACAGAGTGGTTATGTCGCAATGGCTTATTGTTTAAAATTGATCGTTCACTAAAATTAATCTTAACTTGACTTAGACACTGATAACTAACACATATAGCTATTCAGTGGGTTGTTTTTTCCTGAGAAACATACTAATAAATTAGTAGACATGAATAGTCATTGCCGTTCATGTAAATTTAAGTTACGTAAATAAAAATCAAATTCATCTGTTCCACTAGAAACAACTACGTAAGTAGTTTTAATCAGTTCTTCATTATTTATCAGTTATGGAGATTTTTGAGCTGTAAGTGAGATTATGGATTGATCAATGTTAGGCCGTCATTGAAGACCTGCAATATCGTGGAATGGTTGGAATTAGACTGTGAATGCGCACTGCTGAGGAGTCCCATAATAGAGCGAAAGGGCTATCCAGTGCTTCTAGGTTTTCAATGGTGGTCTAACATTGATCGATTTATGAGCTCAATTACTCCTCATTATTCTATAACTCATTATTTACTTGTCAATTTTTAAGGCGTTACACTTACTATTTCAGTTTGTATATAAGTATGCATATAAGTTTTATTATTTAATCATTATAACCATATATATTTTTTGTTATTTACTAGATGAAAATTATTTGATTTTATTATTTTTTTCAAACAGGATACGCGTTATGTGGATAGTAATTTGATAAAACTATTTCAACTTGCTCAACTTTTAGTTGAATATTTATTGGTAAGCAGTAGATTTACGAATGCTAAGTCAGTTGTGTATTCGGACTCGACATCTTTAATATTATTAATTCAGAAGGAATTTTCTCATATTCACGTATAAACAAGCACTAAAGAACACGATCCCTAATTCAAGAGTCTTCTTTTTCTAAATATCTTTTAGTGTTTAAAAAAACATGAAGTCCAGTGAAGGGATCTCTTTTCAGCGAATTCGGTATCAAACTATACAATCGAATATATTTTTTTCCACAGTTTACTTCACAAGTCGATCTAAGCTAGACCACTAGTGGAAACCTGGAAGAAATGGATGTCGGCTTCGTCCTATCGCGGGGTTCTTCAGTAGTGCCCACCCACGACACGCATGTGGGACTCGAACCGAGGACCTTTTGTCTCATGCGTGAACGCTTAACCTCTAGACCACTGAGCCAGCATCCAACGGTTTTAATGTCTAACTTCAATCTATCCATGATCTTACAAAACCCTTCATCCATTGCTTGCGGTGGTTAACTGTCGCACACCCGACACGAATTGGACTCCACTGGTCACGGCTTCTCACTAGAACTCCAGGAAATCTATCCTGATGCTAGTCACTAGTGAGCACATGATTATTATCAGTATGGAGATTTGTGGAGATTGTAGTATTTCCACAGTTAAATTCATAAGTCGACCTAAGCTAGGAATTTTTCTAAGTATTAGTCCTGTGAGGACCTATGAACGGAGAATGAGTATATTAATGTAATAGAAAGATTACAATATTAGATGATGTAATGTTGATAATAATACTAAAAGATTGTGTGTGTGTCTGTGCAAATAAAAACCTTATAAAATTAATAAGTTAACAGCGTATTATAATTTGAATGGAGTGAGATAAACGTTTGATTAAACGAAATGAGAGGGAAATATTTTCAAATACGAAATAAAATAATAATAGTTTGAGGTTATGGTAAATATGCACTTCATTTGTACGCACAGTTCTGGCTTCATTTCTTAGATGGCAAGAGCTGCTGTTTTAAGGAGTTGGATACGAAGAAATCTAGGTAGATTTTAACGAATTGTATAAACACCCTTAAAATTAACCTGTGGATTAGTGGAGTGATTAGAGTCGATTATATGTTCAAGAATGGGGCTTCTAATTTGATAATAAATTCGTTTAAAAGAGGTCCCTTTGTTGAACTAATTTTTAATATCTAAATAGGAATTATAAATCTATTTAAAAAATATGTACATTTGACATTTATCCTAAAGATCACACTAAATTTAGAACACTAGTGATGGTTAATGCTTGACTGTGATGAATATCTGAAGGTAAATAATACAAATCATAATGGTAGTTTATTTTGAATTCCAACTTTTGAAAGCTAGATAACCACACTTGAAATACATCATATTCCATCAAGATTGCAGTAAATCATCGACAGTAGAAAACGTTTCTATTCAGTCTAACCGATGTTTGTTATACAAAGTGTTTTTAGTTGACCATTACATTATCTTCCTGTTTTTTTTTTAGTTAGAGAGAAATCTTCCACTTTTATTTATATTTGATTGAATAGTTTCATAGTATTTGGGTTCCGAGTTAATGTAAGACATTAAGGAAGAAGAATGCATTTACAAAATTTCAGCAAATGAATTTAAAGTAAATTCAACGTTTTGCTCTGATAATATTCTATAATTTTGACGTTTGAAAAAGCTTGAGCCAGATTGCCAGTCGAAACGTTGAATTTACTTCAAATTCATTTGCTGAAAGTTTTACCAATATATTCTTCCTCTGTAATGTCTACTGATATTTGATAATAAAAAATGCACAATTATTACAATCCTAATTCAAGGTTATATTTTATCTTGTAGCATAGTTTATCTTGCCTACGTCAAAAAATGCATAATCCCTATAAAAGAGCTACAATGACAAATACATATCGTATTCAGTATTCCATTGATTCTCATATAATTTACAAGATATCTTTCGTTAACATTGTTCATAATTCCATTAATCGTTAGATCACTCGAATTATCTCTACATCTTTAATCTGATTAATCTATATAAAATATTCCTCCAAGAAAATAAGGTTACAGTGATTTATACTAAATCAACTTAACTTGTTACGTAATAGGTTGTAGGATTTTCTTCAAGTTTTGTTAATTAATTAACCGTCATAAATAATTCTACTTTATTTCAGTGTATATCAAGAAGTAAATCTGTTGTCATTTCTCTTTTGATATACTTTATTAACACCCATTATCTTTCAAACAAGTTTTTCGGTGATATTCTTTCATATATACTTTGTATCTTTTTGTTATTTAGTACTCTCAAGATTATTTGACAGCGACAATAGATTCACTTAAAGAAGAAAATAATGAACTTCACAAGGTAATTTATTCTGTTACCAATAATAAGTTTTTTTAATCCCTCATTATCAATATTTAGTATTGCAATTAAACAATTTACGTTGCTATATGTTGACCTTAAATGATACTGTTACTACATCTACTATTCTGGGATCTGATCAAAGAATTTCTTCTTTTTGCTAATGCGATATGAGAATTTGAACCTATTTATATACGTGTCAGGTTCTAAGTTGTGACTAACTAACTGGCTTAAGTGAATTACATTGATATAACCTTTTAGCTATGAATTATAGTATATCTAGTATATGATCAGCAGTGGAATCAAAGAAGTTCAGATATCAACAAGTTATCCATTGATATATTAAGTTCAGAAGCGAAATGTACTGGATTTGTTTCTCAGTTTGAGTATTAACACCCGGATTCAGGGAGATTCGGTTGACAATTCCCAAGTACAATACTCACATAATTGATTCCACTGCTAAACATATACCAAATAGACTGAAATTTTGTTTTGCTATTTTACAGATTAATGCTACAACTAGCTCAAGGTTTCCTCTATCAGTGATGTTGAAATACTGAATTTCTCTTCATTGATTTATACACTCAGACATCAAAAGTAAACCTTATAGATATTGAAATAACATTCTTATTTATAATTCATCATATACAATGTAATCTATAGCTCATCTGATAGTGATCTTTGTTTGGGTGGATTTGAGTTCAAAATGTAATTATCATGTCATTTCATATTTGTCAGCTGAATATATATCTCGACTATTGATTTAAAATCAATTTAAACTTTCGATTTTAGTTGTTTTATCGTTTAGTTAAAAAAGATTTACATTTTCAGCAAAGATGGATAATGTCTAGTAGTGGAATCCAGGGTGCGCGTCTCGTCTTATTCGGGATTCGTCAGCTGGATTTACCTGCATCTCAGAGTTAATGTTCACACTGGAACTCGAACTTAATACTGTACGTTTCAAACAACATCGTGTTATCCACTTAGCTACTTAGTCCTGATAGCTAATTGCTTGTGCAATGAGGTGAAGTTTAAATTCATTTTGTATTGTTTGGTTGAATCTTCTCATTGATGCGAACACCAACTGTGGGATGCAGGTACGTCCAACTGACGTGTCCCAAACAGGACAAAATGCGCGCTCAAGATTCCACTGCAAGCCACCATCCATCTTTGCTTATAATACGTGTGAATTAAAGCAATGTCGGGGCAATAGACACAGTATGCACATATGCCAATAAGAGACCGATTAATTGCGGTACTACACATCACTGGGAAGATTCAAGTAAACAATACCAAGTATAGTTGCATTTTCATTTTATTATTAACTATTAAATCTAATTATGTTGTTAAAAACCTTTAATTTGAGATTTAACATTTATTTTATGAAATAAGAAAACAGATTTATGATTCATTTCGAAGTAGAATCATTAAAACAATATCAGAAAGGGGTTTGTGGAGATTGTTGTGGTTTTAATAGTTCAATTGATGAGTCAATTTAAACTAGATCACCATTGAAAACCTGGAAGCACTGGACAACCGTTTCGTTCTAGTATGGGACTCCTAAGCAGTGCGCATCCACGATCCCGCATGTGGGACTTGAACCAAGAACCTTCTGTTTCATGCGTGTACTCTTAACCTCTATATCACTGAGTCAGCATCCAATAGTGTTAGTGTCTAACTTCAATTTATTCATGACCTTGCGTAACCCTTTATCCATTGTCTGAGGTCGATAACCGTCTCACACCCGACACGGTTGAACTCCTCTGGTCACATCTCACAAGACTTTCAGGAAATTCATCTTCAAAACAGTCACTGGTGAGCACATTGATTTCCTGGAGTTCTAGTCAGAAAAAGTGACCAGTGGAGTCCATGCCGATTGAAGTTTAACATTAACACCATTGGATGCCGGCTCAATGGTATAGAGGTTAATCGTACACGCATAAAACCGAAGGTTCTTGATTCGAGTCTCACGTTCGGGATCGTCGATGCGCACTGCTTAGGAGTCCTATACTAGGATGAAACGGCTGTCCAGTGCTGCCGGGTTTTCGATGGTAGTCTAGCTTAACTAATGAATTCAACTATTGAAATAAAATAATATGCATAGAGTAGTAACATTACTATTGTGGACCGCGTGGTGGCTACTCTAATTCTACCGATTGACCAACTGCAGATATCCCAGTAGGACTCTAATATATCAGAACACGAACCGTTAGATGAAAATTGTTTATGGGGTCAGGAGAAGAAGAATAAGAATTTACAGACAAATGCATATTTATACAGTTAGGACTACCGTGAATATTGACCAACAGAAAAATGACACGTGAAATCAATATTGACCAATAGAAAAATGACACCATTTCACGTTCAAGGATAGCATTAGACTTAACAAGATAATTTTTGGGTTATTTTTTCTGAATACCCCAACAGTTACACAATAATTATACAATGACTCATTGATTATAAAATAATATTGAGTAATTAGAAAGAAAAGAATTGTAATCATCAAAGTGATTATTCGAAAAACCAAGCAGTTGCTTCGTTGTATATTTATTTGCTCTATTTATTCTTTTTTGCCAAATGTCAAAATGGGAATTTTCACCATATTAAAAAGCATTTCATAAATTACTGTCAAATTTTCGCACCGGTATTTATTTTAGGATTGCGATAAATTAAAACGTCAACTTCAAGAGAAAACAAATCGTCTTACAGCAACTCGTCGAGAATGTCATCGCCGACGTTTATTACTTATGGCTCAACAACAACTTATGGATTCTGGCCCACAATCATTACACAAATGTATCTACTGTCCTAAAGCTTTTGTAAATGCATCATTTCTAGCTACACATATTCATCGTCGACATCCAGAAACAGAGAATACAGATAGGAATACTCCAGTTTATGCAACACAGCCATGTTTAATAACCAATAACACACCTTATCCACAAGTACAACAATCACAAAAAATATATCAACAGTCTGATAATCACTATACAACGAATAATATCATGGTAAGTTTTAGAATTTGTTAAGTGTATTTTCAAAAAAAGATGTATGTACTTTGGTCTTGGATAATTTTTCTAAACGTAACTGTACCGTTTTTCAATAAGAATATGGTAATACAAGTACTAATCACTTTGAAATCTTAGCTTCCAGCATGTATATGACTATAAAGGTCATTAAAGTCAAATGTAAATTAGTCTTAATACTTTTCCAAAAATGCGAGTCTGTTCTGATAAAATATCTATGGATAGATGTTTTTGGAGGTTTTTTTAAGTTGTATTAGTTTTCAAGTACCTAAATGATAAAGCAGAAAGATAGGGAACGCTTCACAGATAAATCACCAAGCTTAGAGAGCACAAACGAAACAATCGAGAAGAAATTCTAACTTGTCACATCTATACTGATGATTTTGTTTAGACCAATAATGAAGGCTCTAACAACCGAACCATCCATCTTATAGACCACAATATCAATAAATTTTCTTATATTTTACACCGAAAATCTCTTTTAATTGGTTTCCTTCATTATTTTTTTTCAGAGGGCATCTTTAGAACATGATGTGAGAGAATTGTTAAACCAATTGAAATTGAATCCTCCAGATCTACCAAATGAACATCAGCCACCAACTAGATCGATTGGTTTTGATGGTGAACAAAATAAAAACAATGCAGATTGGCATACACAATTAATGGAAGAGCATAGAGTATGCAGAATCATTACTATTGTTTAATATTTCTTTTACCATTTATTGGTTATATTTGTTAAATGATGTTAGAAACATACACTAGTCAGTCTCCTGGTAATCGTTAGGATTGACTAAATTCTATCAATCAAATTGTACTATATTCAATAAATTACAAATGAGTTGATATTATGCTACAATAAGTTTTAATTTAAATCGTCTGGAGAGATAATCGCTAGATCTACCACTACGGGATTTGAATCAACAACTGCATCTCTTTGCTAATGTGGTATGGCAACTCGAAATGATGTACGTACGTACGAAGTTCTACGTTGTTACTGACTGACTGATAATCGGTAGATAGTTTTGTATCAATGTCTCATGCTAGTTGACATTTGCCACTAACATGAATCTGTCCTGTTAAGTGAACTGATTTTTGACCGCATATTACATACCACACCATCATCATCATCATTACAATTGTCATCATGTTAAAAACAGTAATAGTAATCTCATTTTTATTAAATCGACAGCTGTTGAACTTAGTTAGTACAAATATTCGTAGAATACAAACACCAGTAATAATTTAATGTAATTTGACAATTATTCTGCTGATTTATTTCATCATAACTTCTGAAGTTTAAAACACCAATACTCAACAATAACAAAAATACAATCACCGAGCAAGTTATCTCTACAAATCATTATTAAATTATTGTAACCGAATAAGATTAATCAAAGTATTTACTATTATTACATAAACTATTTTTTACAAATTTCTTTCCTTTTTTTCTTAGCGTGATATGGAATTAATGAGAAAAGGATTTGAGAAAGAACTTCACAATCTTCAAACTCAATATCATCAAACACAAGAAGAATTAAGTAAACTAAAATCCAGACCAGGTGAGTTCAGTAGGATATAGATGATCATCGAGAAATCTTTGGTATTGCATTGATTGACAAGTTTTGACAGAGATTAATTTTATTGGTTGATAGTATTTTTCATAGAATGACTATTTAAAACAACATTGAATACTATGTAGCATTGTACAGCTGTTTTCTTCTAGTATGAGACTATTAAGTAGTGTGCACTTATGATCTTATCTGAAATTCTAGTAAGAAGTTGTGACTGGTAGGATTCATGTTGGAAGTGAGATTTTTTCCCCCACTGATTTCAACTAGTGGATCGTCACGCCATATATTAATTCAATTGAAGCTAAAAAATACTCACCATTAGAATTATAACTCAATGGTCTAATTAATAAACACTCTACGATAGCCAAAGGTTTGGGGTTAGATCTTTGGTGGGTTCTCGTGGATGGGTAGTGTTGAACAGTCTCATACGAAGATAAAATCGCTGTCCAATGCTTTCAGATGTTTAATGGTATTATAATTAAAGGCAAATAATGGCTAACACTGTATACATTTTATTATAATTTAATCATTATGTGGTCACAAAGTTTTATCAGTAAGACGTTCTAATAGCCACCAAGACCTATTACCCTCCAAATAACTGTCTATAAAGTATATGAAACTTAGAAGTTTCTACATTGTAGTTAGTAAAAAAGTGGTCTTTCAATAATTTGATCAGAAACTGAAATCCAAAACTTTTATTTGGTGCAAATTAATGTCATTTTTATAGTTCTTACTTTATGTAAAACTTTTTGTTTACGAAATTAATGTGTCTATAGAAGGTTAAGAACATGAAAAATACGAAGTATTTACTATATTTCTTATTGTTTGTCATTTTGGCTTAACATATGTTTATCAAAAAAAATAATTGTTGAAAATAAAAAGAAATTACTATTTGAATCAGCGTGTGATATTCAAATACCCCATTTACAGTAAAATTATAAATAGCCTAAAATATATAAATTGATCGAATTACCAAGCCACTACTTCCGTTATGTATAGCAAATACTCCAATTAACGTTAATATACCCTAGGGATAAACTCTATGTTGTCAAATCATTTAATTGTATCGTAGTCAGAAATTACGGTTATGTTTTCATTTGTTTAGTCACTCAGTTGTATATATTTTCGAATAATTTTTATTACAAAATTAATTCAAGGTACGCCTTCAACTATTTTATTAGTTTTCCTTCATCATGACTGAGTGTTCCACACATAACACATCCGTACCAAGATGGAATGATATTTTCATCACAGAAAACTAATATTTGAATGAATTATATTCTTTTTGATAAATTCTCTTCAGGTTCTATAATTATCTCATATCCAAATTAATAACCCGAAAAATGGCCAGGTTATGGGCAGAGTACATGGTTTAAAGTATGTGAATTTAGGATTGTTAAACAGAATACGTAAAATTGTTAATGTTGATATGACTCATAGAATGTTAACTTGAATCTGCATATATGTTAATTGAAATTTAAGATCGATGATCAGAATAAATATGGGTCAGATAGGGTGAGAGAAATAATAGTGCTGCAATTACAAATGTTCAGTGGAAGGCTATATTGTGTGCAAAATTAGTAAGACGTAATAAAGAGGGATAAATGCTAAGTGAATGAATCATGTATAGGGGAGATTAATAATGATGTTTAACCAACAATAATAATAATAGTAATAATAATAATAATAACAATAATAATAATAATAACAATAATAATAATAATAACTAATAATAATAAATACAAAGATTTGTGAATAAAGATAACAGAGACAATTACAATTGACTACGAAAGGTCGTAGTCAAATTAGGTCACTCAACAGCTAAGATTACTATTGATTAATTAACCTTGATGTTGGCCAGGGGAGGAGGAGTGGTTGAAGATATTTCTTCTGTACGCATAGCTCCGGTTTCATCATCCGAATGGCTACTGCTTCAGTCGTTTGAAGGACTTTAAGCCTGACAAGCTTTGGCAAAAATTTACTGACCTTATAAATAATTGAAGAAGACTGGTTTATACTGGCACTATGACCAGTTTGTACTAAATGGGCCAATATCGAGCTGTTCACTTTCTTCATCAAACCTTTGTTTAACCACGCTGGGTGTTCACGAGTACAAAAATGTAAACTCCTAGAACTCCGACCAATATAACTCGCTCCACAGGAGCAGTCGAACTGATAAATACAAAATGAGGTGGTCATTCTAGGTAATTCATCTTTTAGCCTCGGTGTCACCGTTGGGCGCGTAGGAAACATTAATCTCAGTTCTCCGGCGTTAAAAGATTTTTGTATTATCTTGAGTAATCTCTGAGCTAATATTTCACTAGCCGTATACCCTCTGAATTGTAGACGCATAAACAGGCATTTCTTCTTCACCGTTCGCATTCCGCCTATTTTCACCTTCGTGATCATATATTTAGTTAAAAACTTCCTAGGGTAACCGTTCTCCCTGAGAGTATTATGCAAGGCGTTAAGCTCATCTTCAACTATATCAGCAGAACATATAGTGCGTATGCTTTAACTAAGGGTTTTGATCGAGTTTCGTTTGTACTGTAGAGGTTCAAAGCTAAGGAAATGCGTATACTGCCCAGTCCATGTACTTTTTTTGTTTAAGTTCCTTTTAACGGTCCATCCGCTCCCTTAGTTAAGAGAACGTCCAAAAGGCTATTCGATCATCACTCTCTTCTTCAGATGTAAACTGAATGGCTAGATGTACTTCATTAAATCGCCTAAGAACCTCTTGCTGTGACGTATTATCTTTACAGAGGATGAACGTGTCATCCATATATCTGCAGAAAAATATGAAGTTCTGAATACTCTTTTTTAATGGACCATTTTCTAGTTTGGCTAGAAAAATATAAGCTAGCATAGGGTCCAGTGGTGAACCCATTGCAACACCATCTGTTTGTCTATATATTTCACCGTTGAACTTGAAATTCACATTCATGGTGCATTTGAGTAATAATTCTTTCACGACATTAATAGGAACAGTAGTTTCAATTTCTTTTTCAATCAGTTGTTCACCTATGTATTCCATAGTCTCTATGAGTGAGACGTTTGTGAATAACGATGTTACATCCAATGACATCATCTTTAATCCCAACGTATTTGCATTTTTGATTTTGTCAACAAATTGGAATATATCCTTAGCACTATGTTTTACAAGCTTTTCATGGAGAGATTTCAATACAGTTACCAACCATTTAGCTATAGTATGGTAAGGAGAGTTATACATATCTAGAATAGGTCTTAATGAGATCCACGGTTGGTGTGCCTTTGACAATCCATATAATCTCAGCAGGTAGGTTCCCACTGGTTTAATTATTTCATATAAACCTGACGAGATAGTCTGTTGGTCCCTGAGCTTCTTCAAAGATCTGGTAAGTCCCCAAATGCCCTGGTACGACCGAGAGTGGGGAGATTCCGCTCTCCCTCTCCAAATGCTCTCACATGGCCACGCGTATAAAGCCTCTGCCAGGGAACTCCTACTCACTGCCTTCTCGTGGCGGGGGTGTTGTTTACGAAAATGAGAGGACGAAAAGCGAATGTCCTGCTCTCTAACCGGATCCCAAACCAATGGTGCACATGGGCTCCAGCATCCTGAAGGAACAAATGGCGTATGAACCAATTGTTGGTCACCGGCTACCATGAGACTGCATCTCCTCACGATGCTCCACTGCCTTGTGGATCAGATCTTCAGGTCAAGGGCTCGGGGTGTGGCCCCCTAAGAAAACCACCTGCTTTGGTTTGGGCACCCGGGCTGTATCACAGCCCTCACACATATCAAATGAGATCTGTGTGGCGCATATGTATTTGGTGCCTCCTTGTACCGATACCTATGTGTTAAAATAAATAAAAAATAAATAATTTTTCTGGTCAGTTATTTGTTGAAACTTTAATTTGTCATTTAAGATGGCACCCATTTTTTCAATATAATCACTTTTATTAAGAAGAACGACTCCTGAATATTTTGTCAGGTTTCGTAATCAATAACGTATCATCATTAAGAAGTAGGTTGATAGCTTCCTTGTGCTTCTTCGCTTTGCATTCAGGCATAAACGAGATACGGATGAGTGTTTTTCGCAGAAGGTATGCAGTAGATTAGTTAACTGATGATTTGAAAACACCTTTTATGGACTATGTTACGAACGTTATGGATCAGAGATCAGGTAAGAAATTCAACCAGCTCCTGAAAGGTCTGGGATAGCAAACAGCCGAAAGCAAATTTCCAACTGACTCTAAAAGGTATGTACATAATTTGTCAAGTGTCGAACTAGATAAAGAAAAATTAGAGGTATTATCATTAGGTCTGAAATTTTTTGATACTCGTAATAACTGTGACCACATTGATAGCTTCCTTGTGCTTCTTTGTAAGAATGCTTTTGTAACTAAATTTGTTGTTCTTATACTGGTAACAGCAGTCTACAAGATTTGACTTCAAATGTTCTAGTTGCTGCTCAGAATTCTCAACAAAATCACGCGTCTGACTATATAGATTCTCGAACCGTATGTCTGTATCAATGTGGTTACAGTTATTACGAGTATCAAAAAATTTCAGACCTGATGATAATACCTCTAATTTTTCTTTATCTAGTTCGACACTTGACAAATTATGTACATACCTTTTAGGGTCAGTTGGAAATTTGTTTTCAGCTGTTTGCTTTCCTAGACCTTTCAGGAGCTTGATGAGTTAATCTGCAAAAAGACAGATAACGTAGCCCGCCTTCCACCATGGATTATCATAATGTGAATAATAATTCCATCTTTATTTCGATTATTTGCCAGGTTCAAAGTCGAAATTGTTAACAAGGTTAGGTTTTATCCTCACTCCATCTAAATAGTGTTGTAAAATACTTTATTCCTGAAATGTAGCTTGGAGATTGCATGAAGGTCACTTAGTATTAATCGGACCTCATATACATTAAAAAAATCATAAACAATCAAATTTACAATCGTATTAACATGACACATTGACACAATCCCTTGTATGAATTTATGCAAAATAAAATACCTTTACGAGTACATGCACCGATGTTTACCATTTACCAATTACGCTTGTTTCTCCCAATGGAGCATGGGCCGCCGACCAGCATTCTCCAATTCACTCTGTCCTGGGCCTTCCTTCCCAGTCCTATCCAATTTTTGTCATGTCTGTTTCTATTTTTTCGACGTAATGTGTTCTTTGGTTTACCTCCTTTCCTTTGGCCTTGAAGATTCCATGTGAGGGCTTGCCTTGTTGCGCAGAGTGCATGCACCACTGTAATCTCATTGTTTATATTATATGTATTCATATATAATTAACCGTAACTCTTCATCCATACACGTTTCTTATATATATCTGCCTTCCAATATCAGTTTGCTTATATTACTCTGTCTATTTGAACCATACAAACTGAAACACCAATTATTTAACGGACTGAATCGCTCTGTTAATTGACACGGTTGTTCTCCGTTTGTATCGTAATATCTTTGCATGAAATATGATCTTCCCATCATATTTCATTTTCGCCTTCATTCAAATAGGGTTAACAGAAGTATTACATAAAAAATATAAAATTAAGAACCATTATTTTATGATGCCAGATATACTATAAAAGATGTCTGCTTCTCTTTCTATAGTCGCTATCATGTAGATATTTTCACGCTGTGTGCTTCATTTCCATACATAACATAAAATTGATTTACGTTTATTCATTTTTAAATAAATATATTTTCTAGTACAATTGTCAGGTTACTTACACTCTAACCGTTGGAATAGTATTTCATCGTTTTTCTTCGAAAAAGTTGAATAATACAGTTTTTACAGTAATGTATATGCATTGATAGGATTGGTTTAATTATGTTTCCAACTTGGATACAGAATATTAGTTTTTTCTGAATAATTAAACATTTCAGTAATTCAAGATGTTGTGTAATGGAAGTTGATGTGGAATGAGTTTCAATACTATATTTAATTGCGAACATTTATTCTGATGATTAACCTTAGCGTTAGTTGGTTTAATAGTCAACATACTTGGCCAGTAATAAATTTCAGGTTAGAACTTAGCTCCAGCTTACTAGGTTTAAACAACTGGATCGTAGAGCTAACGTTTTTTTTATTTGAAATATTTTTAACATAAAACCACTTACTAAACTTATACTTAAGGTAAATTAATTCAAAATCCCCTTCAAATTTGTTTGTTTCAATGTCTCAATTCTTTTATTCTTATTTCCAGCTATTTCTAATTTGGGCGAATTAGAAAATGATACGTCTGGAGTAAGTTTTTAATATTACATTTTGTTACAATATGATGCATTTTTTAAAAGAAACCTATTAAATCCTTTAAAAAAATAACTAGAAATAGCTAGACGAAGAAAGTTCCCTTTTCAACGATTTCATTTTCTTGAGCTGTACAATAGTATTCACAGGTGATTTTTGTATGTAAAGTGGTCTGTAATAAAATAAAGGAGTGTTACACTATTAGACAAAATTGTCGAAATACTTCAACTTTATAAAGTATCAAATATAAAAGTCTATAAAAGTGAAGTATTGTATCACTTAACAAAGTAGTAGAAACTTATCAAACGGTTTCAATTATTGAATATAATAGGTTTTACACCATTTAACAACTACGATTGTACAACTCAAGAAAATAACATAGTGAAAATGAAAATTCCCCTCGTTCAAACGTCTTCATATATATATATATATATATATATATATATATATATATATATATATATAAGTTCTATAAAGATGGTAATAAATTCAATATAGTAAGGAACTTTATTCAAACCAATATAATGTTCTGGAGACTAAATAAGGTCTTCATGATAAGCACTTTAACGACAAGCTAGTAATTTTCCAATAAAGTTGTATTGGACTAGAGCTTTTAAAGCGAATGTTCTCCTCATGTATTTCGTTTTATTAAAGTTTCTTTGGTCCATATACTCAAAATGTTCAATTTGCATATCAAGATTAATATGAAATAATCAAAATATGTGATGAGAATAGCCAATCTGCATTTATCTTAGCTTCATTATTTATTTAAAGTGTTGATGAATCCCAAAATATTTCTTGTCAAAGTATATTGAGGCCCAGAAAATATTTGAAGACGTTTTATCCGACTAGCAATAAGTAGAAATGTCTCAAAAACATCTAGAAAAATCAAAAATTATACTTCACATTTTGATTGGAGAATTACTTATAACGTTGCCATATTTAAGCATGTTTGTAAAGAGTTCTAAAAGACCAAGGTCATGTGAAACTATAAACACACTTTTTTCTGTACCTAATTAACCTTAGAGTAATACTCTTACTCAGATATTGCTCTTGTTCTCTGTTGTTCGAATAAAAGTGTAAAAGTAGTTTTTAGTTATAGGAAGTGGCTTGGAAAATCAGTAGTAAGCGTTCTAGTAACAGACCTATCGTAAATTAAATTAATATTTAACAGAACATATATGTATTTCCATTAAGACTTGTAAGTTCTGTTTATTCCCCCGGATTAATTAAAAATTTCTACTTTTATTTTTTAATCATTACTCTTAAGCTATGACAAAATTGATTCGCACAGTTTATCATAAATATGTTGTTTTTAAACAATTGAACAGTTATTCTCTATGTTAAGGAGTTAATAATTATCATTATCAAATATTTAATAATGAACGTTTTATTATATAAATTTAATTGAAACACTGAATTTTCCACCTTATAAAGCAATTGACTCTCTTTCTCTGTCTAAAAATGGTCATAAACACGATTATCTCTGTAAGTAAAGATGGATGGAGGCTAGTAGTAGAAGTCAGGATTCATGTTTCATCCTTTTGTGGACTCGTCAGTTGATGTACCAAAATCCCAGAGTTGATGTTCACTCCAGGACTCTCGATATGATCAAAATAGAAGATACGCATTCGGTATAATATTATTTTGATGTGTTAATGATTCTGACGAAAAATAGAGAAATTGAAGGAAGAGATAAGATTATCATCAGAAAGTTCATTTGTCTGTCGTTTATTAGTTCTCTCGTATTGTTATTATTTTATGGCATAGATTTGATCATATACATAGAAAATAACTAAAGTCAATTATTTTTATTAATGAAAATGAATAGTCTAAAGATTTATTCAGTTCATCATAACCGCCATTTCATACAACGGCAAGTTTAAGTATAGTTACAGATATCGTTTTCCAAGAGATGTTCACAATAATTTTACACTACTGATTATTTGAAAGTAATCAGATTTCTTACTCAAATTACAGCTGAATAAGTTAACTTCAATATAATGTTAAATAACGATTTTATTCTTCACATATACATGAGCTATATAATTATGCTTTACTGAATGACTTTATGTAATATTCATATGATCTAAAAATACTACTTACAAAAGCTTATAAATATACAATATATGGTTATGGAAACATCAGTCACGGTCATTAATTGTGCTAAAATTCAGTTCTATTCTCTAGTAAACAAAATACAAATATATTTAAATGATATGTGGTTTTTTTTATTAACATTTCCTTGCATTATCTCTCTTCGTTTCATTTGTTTTTCAATGTAGTTTGCTTGCAGTATTTTGTGTTGAATGTCAGTACTGGAACGCCTTTTTTCTGAACATAGTTCTACAGTTATAATTATATATTTAGACGTTGTCTATAACACTCGATATTTTACAATATTTTCAAAAAAGAAACCGATTTATTATTATCATTTTTTTATTTATTAGCCTGAATTTCGACCAAATCGAGCAAAATCAGCTAATACAACATTAAGACAATCGACTAAAAATTATAATGTTGAACAAGGGGAAACAAGTTCTCGTCATAGTTTACCCATTGATAATGATAAACAGTCAACTGCTTACGTCTCAATTGTTTCTGGACCAACAACAAGATTTTTAAGACCAACTTATTCATTGAAACCACAATTTAGTGATACAATAAATCGTGATGATAAAGATGAATCGGAAGCACAACAAGTTTCTCGAGCAATGGGACGTGTATTAACTGCTTCAGGGGGTACAAGTAAGTAATTCCTAAATTATCAAATTATAATTTTTCGATAAACATTTAAGAAAAGTGTAAATTCTTTCTTTAACTATCTCTTAATTATAGTCCTCCTAAGAATGGATTGATTTTATGAATATAATTTTTTAAAAAGTAAACTGAATGGATATTTAATCTAAAATTTATCATTACGTTTTGTATTTTAAAACTTAAAATATTAAGTTCTGTTATCTGAAGAATCATAAATAAAATTTTTAAAAATTGCTGTTAGTTATTCATGTGCTCCCTCATTACAATCGATTCCAATTGAGCCGCCAAATGTCCTGGTACGACCGAGAGTGGGGAGATTCCGTTCTCCCTCTCGTAATGCTCTCACATGTTCACGCGTATACAGCCACTGTCAGAGAAGTTCTACTCATTGCCCTCTCGCGTCGGAAGTATTGATGACGAAGTTGAGAGGATGGAAAGCGAATATCGGTACTTTAACCGGGTTGGTGGATATAGAGGATCCACATAGGGGAGTTGGAAAATCTTGATTTCAAACCAATGGTGCACACGGGCTCTATGATCCTGAAGGAACAAATGGTGTATGAACCGATTATTGGCCACCGGCCACCATGTAACTGCATATCTTAACGTTGCTCCACCACCTTGTGGAATAAACCTTTGAGTCAAAGGCTCGGAGTGTGGCCCCATAAGAAAACCATCTGTTTCGATGTGGGCGACCGGGCAGTATTCCAGCCCTCACACGAATCGAATGATTTATGTGGCTCATATATATTTTTTACTTCCTTTTACCAATATTTGTATTTATATAAATAAAAGAGGGATGAACATTACTTGATTGTTTAGGTTGGAAATCTTAAATCATTTTATTGATTCAACTATAAAATGGTTCATCATTAACCGACAATTGTTTTTAATTTTCTTTGAAATTCAATTAACAATTACATATTTCATTCAGTTGGTTTGTCAGTTTTTTTTAATTCAAATGTCATACATCACTTTTGACATAAAGTGTAAGTTAGAAGTGATTGATGTTAGCCTGACCTAGGTTTCATTCTAATTAGCTCTTGTTAGTGAGTCGTACCTATAGTTTTCAGAGAATTGATATTCTCTGTCTCCATATTCACAGTTTGAGACATTAACACTAAGCTATTAAGCACGAAATCCAGAACCAGTGTTTCTTCAAGACTACTATTTAATATCAAACATAGTTACTCAGACTATCCGTCACATTAATTAATAGTAATTTATCAATACTAAAGACTATACAGATATTACGTTGGTCTTTATTTAGTGATCAACCAATATAAATAAGTTGATATTTTCGCTTTCTGTTAGAATTATATCCATGAAAGAAAACCAAAACTAAATAATACATGATTCTTGTTATGTAAATTCAACAATGGTAATTTATTAATACATCTATTTACTATCCATTATCATTCATTTATTTAATCACTTATTGTATTTTATTTGTTTAAGGTCCAACACCAAGTTTAAATGCAAGTACAAATATGTTACGATATAGTCGTTTATTAGATCAATTACGTGGTGATCCAGAAACTTTAAGGAAACTACGTCATGAAGTTGAACAATTATTATTAGAACAATTAAATGAACATGGAATTAAATCCGATCAACGTCGTTTATCTACAAATCAACTTAATCAAAAATTAACTATTTTACATAAGGAAAGAGAAAATCTAGCTAGAAAGCATCAAAATTTTATGGAAATACGAGACGTATGTTTTATGATAATGTTTCTTTTTGCTAGAATTTATTTGATTAACAGATTTAAGTAGCAGAAGGGGTTTTGTGGACATTATAGTAATTTCAAGAGTTGAGATCATGAGTCAGTTGAAGCTAGACCACCATGGAAAACCTGTAAGCAATGCTGAGGAGTCCCACAATAGGACGAAACAGCTGTCCAGTGCTTCCAGGTTTTCCATGGTGGTCTAGCTTCAACTGACTCATGATCTCAACCATTGGGATTTAAGTAAATTTAAAATCGTCATTTCGATTGTATTCAACTTAGTAAAAAGCTGTGAAGAATAGAATTCGATCCATGTTGGTTGTCAAATCGTTATCCACCTCAGGTAATAGATGAGAGTGACTCATTATCATGAATTGATTAAAGTTAGATGTTAACATTGTTGAGTACCGGCCCGGTGTTTTAGAGTTTAAGTATTCCAGTACGAAACTGAATGTCCTGGCCTCGATTACTGGTTGCGGGGTATTGAATGAGGAGTTCCATACTAGGACGAAACAGCCGTCCAGCACTCCCAGGTCTTCAGTAATGGTCAATATAAAAACGCTTCGTGATTTAAAACTGAATGGTATCTGATTATTTTCATTTTCGATGAATCGATGTATTAACTATAGAAACGTATATACACTACCAGATCATCAATTATTAAAATAAGCCATTCTGGTAGGTACGGACCTATTGGTTAGAATCTGAAGGATAATCGTAATTCGTTTCGGAAGATGTTAGGCGAAATATCTTTTATTCGATATTAGTACTACATTTCCATTAATTATTGGACGTTATCGAAATCTAGATTATAGTTTCATCCCATACTATTCATTATTTGATTTTATTTGTTCCGTTTGCATTATAATTCTTATATTTTGCTTCCTCTCTTTCCGCCTTACGGACTCCCTCTCTCGGTGAAATGTAGTAACTTGGACATATATATATTCTTTTCCGGTCTCAAGTTGAATGTAATTGACTGACTGACTTTTGTCTGTTATAGAATTTATTAAAATAAATTTATTAGATAGTAGATCACAGTGATCAACACAAACTTATTTCATTCAAATGTGATTACTTGATAACTTTCGTAAATAAAATTTATTCTATTTCCAACTAATTTACTGTAGTTGGATATATAAAAAACCACTTAAAGTTCCTACAGCAAAAATGTAGCGTAGGGAGATGCTTTGATGCTATCAATAATGTTTCATCAAAATATCCCTAATAAATTTGTTTGATAATTTTAGGCATTAAGTCAACATGTTGATCGTTTAGCGCATGCTGCACTCCGGGGTAGTACAGTCAGTATTCCAGAAGCACGACTACGTGCAGAAAATATTCATAAAATGAATTTATCCTACAAACCTGGTTTACCTCCTCCAGCATCACACAGTCCTGGTAGTTTACGTAGAGCTGGAACTCTTCCATTAGCTTCACAAAGAGTTGATATCACATCTAATTTAGGAGTATCTTTACCAATATTATCTATAAATAATGAAATTAGAAGAAGTCAGTCTACCATGACAGGAATAATAAATTCACCAAGTAGAAGAGGAACAGGATTCTCTGAAACAAAGTAAACATGTTATTTGTAACCTCTTTTTGTTGTTGTACAGTAATTTACGTTGATCATTTACTCACTTGAAATTTTAAAACATTTTATTTGTTCACTATTAGGCAAGTCATATTCCAGTTGAGTGCTTTACTCTCTGATTAACTGCCAAGTCTTGAAGTTGTTCATGTCATCCATTTTTTAACCGAATGAAGAATCACAATTTTTTTGTATACCTTAATCTTTTTGACGGTAACAATTTCTGAAGCTGTACAATCATCTTTATAGGTAATTTTTTTACATGTAATAGTCGATAGTAAAACAGTAGAATTTTACAAAATTACCAAAGATAGTCAAGCTTATTTAGGTGGAAGTCAATAAAAAATGAATTGATGTTGCATAGCAGAGTCAAGATTATCAAAATATTTCAAGTATTAAGCATCATAATTTATAAATGGAAGAATGTTATTGCAATGTAATTGAACTTTTTAAGTATTAAATAAAAAGGATTGTATCATTTAGCAGAGTAATTAAAAATCGTCAAGAGCTTACGTTATTCAATAGTTTAGAACTTAATAAAAAGGTGAAATCTATGGAATAAATAATAATGATAACCGACTATTTAAGAAAGTAGTAAGAAAAAGGCAACAATTAACAATCATAGTTTGTAAAATTCGAAGGGGTACCAAGATAATGGGAGAATAAGTGATTGAACGTGACTCTTCTATACACAGAGTTTTGTGTTTGGAATGTTGAATTGGTATAGTCTGAGCTGTGCGAAAAATTCTTTTGGAGCCAGTTCTTTATGCTTTTTAGAAGATTTTGAGTGGAGATTCACATGATGGAGTGTTATCTGAATTGACCACGTGTTTGTGAACTGAGCTGTTGTTTTATTTGTATTTCCCTTTAAACAACCATTCAGGGTAGTGCTTGGATATTCGTTTACCACGTGCATACTTTGTACGCCCAGTATAATCTAATTCACAACAACAAGTAAACTGATAGATACACATTGAAATGGCCCAAAGCGCCAGTTTATCCTTGAAACTTCCCTGAATGATTTCGTAACCCAGTTGAATAAAAAGTCCTCAAGGATCTGGATAGTCCTTTCATCAATATCTCAGCTTCCGTATCTTCCCGGAATTCGATTTTCAAGAATACAACTTTCCCCTTGACCTTGGAATTACTTTGAACTTAACGTTACAGTTCTAGATTACTGTCAATGAGCATGAGGAAAGAGATTCTCTAGAATAGTTCGGCGGACTATATTCAGTTCATCATCCGTAGTCTTCAATGAATATTCATTCGGCTCTTGAGGATAGAGAATAGATCAAATTCCTCTTCCTGATCAGCGACACCCAACTCTGGAAGTTCGCATACTGCCCGTTTTAGGTTGGCTTTTTCAATAATTATTATTACTCAGTACTTGAGAACTTTTAATTATTTTGAGACACTACTTCATTTTCGTTGACTTCCAGCTGAATACGTTTGACTATCTTTATCAGTCAGTCGGTCAGCTACAACGTAGGAACAGGCACATATATGCATCGGTCCAAGCTGCCATACCGCATTCGTACAGCAAGATGAACACCGGATTCATAGAAGTAGTTATTCCAGTGGTGCTAATATATAGAAGAAAGATTGCATATAAGGAGATAGTACAAGAAGTAAGAATTAGTTCGTAGAAAGAAAGATATGAAGAGATTTTAATCTCTTAGTTTAAAGGAAGACAGAGAGTGTATACACCTACGACATTTTGATCGATTCTGAGACATGTCACCAAGAGTCTCCAACCATTGGTTACGATAGTCACGCGGAACCCAACCAGGCAGTCTGCACCTACCAACATGGCTCAGACCAGAAGTTAGTGACACAAGCACTGATGCCACGTTTTGGTTTGGCCGCCCCTAACTTTCTTCCAATTATCCCTAACACCGGTTAGCATTGCGCTTCGTGGTAATCGGTGTTTAGGCATATGTAACACGTGGCCCAACCATCTCAGACGATGAAGATTAACAATCTCATAAACTGATTTAACATAATTCCCTAATACCCTGCGTCTAGCTTCACTATTACTTGCCCGGTAATCCCAACAGATGCGACCAATTATGTTATTTCTCTTCACTTAGACCACGTTTACAAAGATCAAGTCCTCAACTTCAATTTGTTTCAGAAGAAAGTAATTTTGGCAGTAGATTAGCACCAACCATGTCTAAACAGAATCCTACAAATGAATCACAATTACAAATGACTTCTCAAAAATATTCCACCTGTCTACATAACAATAACAATAGTAATAACAATTATAATAATAACAGTGGTACTGTTCAACTACTTTGTTTTACTGTATACTACTAGATGTAAAAATTGTCTATGAGTATTATTGTGCAGCTTCAGAAAATGATATCATCGAAAAGAAACTTCTCTAACTTCTAAACTTTTTTCTCATATTTTATAACAACTGACTTCTAAAAACCAAAAACGCAATAAATACAATTTCTTAGAAAATCGGAAACAATAACATTTCTTAGTTTCATTTAATTTAGTTTCATCGACACTATTATGACTTATGCCACTATCGATTATCACGTGACATAATCGCCAATAAGAATACCAACTTATGTAACCTTGTTCTTGCGCCAAACCAATGTTGCGTTAGCCAGCACGAACAGCCTTGAATCAAATTAAAGTCTTAATTAGTTCCTCTTTCCCTGAATTGCTCTGCCCTGACCGTTGAGTAATCAACACAATCTCAACTTCCACTGTATGAATTGTATATTTCACACATACGTGGTTTATATACAAGCAGACCAGGCCGAATCACACCACAAAATGATAAATAACAATCATATAAAATCAACTCACAAGTAGTTGTGAGTGTGAGAAAGTGTTACATTACTAATAAATTGGCAATGAGTTAAGAATAGCAAATCGTATAACAGTAGTCAATAGGTCAAATGGAAGTTTATAACGAAACGGATATGAATATACATATGATTTAGTTACTTAACAGTTATCCAATAAGAATATATGTAATAATGCTCCACAAATAATCCCTAACAGTCACTATTCATTTATTCTTCGTTCGGATGTAACAAACATGATGATTAGGAGTCGAACTAAACTACAACAATGTTACAAATGATCAGAATACATCAATGCAAGTCAACTAAACTAAGAAAGCTCACGCTATGGAAATGTTTCTTGCATCAATCATTTTATTGCTTAAACGACTGAAGAGTAAAATTATGTTATTTCTCTTCACTTAGACCACGTTTACAAAGATCAAGTCCTCAACTTCAATTTGTTTCAGAAGAAAGTAATTTTGGCAGTAGATTAGCACCAACCATGTCTAAACAGAATCCTACAAATGAATCACAATTACAAATGACTTCTCAAAAATATTCCACCTGTCTACATAACAATAACAATAGTAATAACAATTATGATAATAACAGTGGTACTGTTCAACAAAAACAAATCACATCTAATTCACCTGAGATTCATTTCAGTCATGATCAACGAGTTGTGACATTTGGAACAAAACCAAATACTACTAATACTACTGGTAATTTATCAGTTGTACCAAGCAGTGAGGATGATGAATGGGATTCAGAAACGGAAGATTTAAATATTGTTGCAGCTGAAATTAATAAATCTCAACAGTAAGCACAATTTGTATTTACTTAAATGCAAAATTAAGTAGTATTGTAAATCGTGCTAAATAATTGTTTTGATCTCCGTTAATTATACAAATTAAATAGTTGAAATCATGAGTCAATTGAAGTTAGACCACCATGGAAAACCTGGAAGCACTGGGCGGCCTTATGGTCCTTGTTTGAAAATCTTCAGCAGTGCGCATTCACGATCCCACATCTCGAGATTAGAACTATAATATCCACAAACACCTCTCTCTTATTATAATTATATAAAGGACATTATTTTCAACCATCATTTTATCGAAATTAAATGATAGTTGAAAATATCTCTCAAATTGAGTTAATTTGTTCTAACAAAGGCAGGATAGTGATATTTAATGTTCCTTAGTTGGAAATGCTCTGAATCCTTATCGTTTTGGGAATTACAGACAATTAACTGCCATTAATATTAAACAAATTTATGATGATAAATATTACGTTTTGTTTATTTCCGTGGAATGTGAAAATGCAACATCTACTCCGCGATTACGTAGTTACACATTTACATGAATATGGAGTAGATAATAAAGAAAATTCTCATGATTATTTCTCACTATTCAATGTAAATAATCACAATTACGAATTATGAAATACATGTTATTTATAATATTAGAAGAAATTTAATAACCCGGACACTTCAACGATCCATATCTATTCATGCTTTGTGAATGAAGCATTGGCAAGATATACTTGAAAAATCTAAAATCCATCGGCACTAGGATGACTGAATTCTGTAGGTCGGATTGTGCTAGAGTTATCAGTTTAGATAAGTTGAAATTACAATCCACTTCGTTTGATGTTAAATGATTAATTAGTGTGAATTTCTTAATCGTACAGGATATTGTTTGTCCTGTAAATATTTCTGTGCTATCATCTTTGTTTGAAATTACCGAGGCAAGTTATCAGCCTACTGGAAGTCCTAGTTCCTATGAGATTACTGACACACTGTACTGACTAATGCTATCTAGAATCAGGTAATTGTCCCGAGACCTATTGTTAACTACCTCTGAACTCCTAATATTAACCTGTGTTTTATGCTTCACTTCTAATATTTTACATATTTCCTTTCGTTTTCTATGCAAAGATTAACACTGGGATCATCAAATAAACGAAAAAATCCCCTAAAACCAATAACATCTTATTATAAGTCAAATCACAGTATTAATAATAGTTCTATGCAACAGAAAAACAACAGCCCTCAGGGAGTAAAATTCACTTCATATAAAAATCCCAATTTAAAAACTGGTTAGTTTTAAATTTTGTCATTTGATTTATAAGTAGTATCTCCCGTTGGTTTTACAAATTTTTCTATATATTAGTGCTATAAATCTTCATTTGGATGTTCATAGAATTACTGTTGTACTAATCAACCTGTTCGCACACATTTCATCATAGGGTCTATTTGTCGTCACATGCATACACACAAACACACTTGAAATTCTCTTCTTGTCTGAACACCTGTTTCATCTTATTTCTAATAATTTTTCATAAATTTATCACCATGAATGTCTTGTTTATAAACGCGATGGATCAAAGGAAGTAACCGCCAAAACTTAACTATTGAATGTTTTCGCAATTATGTATAGAGAAATATTTCATTACATTAATTAATCTTATCTTGGATGATACATAAATCTGAAATTTCATCTCATTCTTTATGATTTTCAGTGGGTTCTTTTCAATTGATGTTACATTTCGATAAACACAGATCTTTCCAAGTTTGCACAAGCTACCGAATTAATGAAGTTTTATTTGTTTTCTTTTGTAACGATACAACGAATTTACACATCATTGAATTGGCAAAGAGATTAAGAGTAAGACAATAAATTCACTGTGATCTAGCACATAGAAGATTGTTTTGATTTTAAGAAATATTTATATATACTTCAGTTTAACAGCCCTACTTTCATTGTTTTATAGATGATGAAGATATATTCAGCGTATCATCAATCAACGGTGGTTTAGCCGAAGATAATAGCTTATCTTTAGCCCAAGAATTATCGCCGAGACATTCAGTCAGAGTTAGTCGGTCTTTGGATCCGAGTGTAGCAGCAGCACACGCAGAAATGGCTGCATTAGGTCCTAGGCCAACTACCAGAGTAGGTGGAGTGAGTAGGCAACCAACTACCGCAAAGCACACATCAATCGGAAGCCCAGAACTAAGCAACACCATGGTAACTAGTCTCTGGGGTACTAATTCTAAAGGTAAGTAAGAAAGAAGTGGTATTTTCTGCGATCTCAGTGCTTTAATTATGTTCAAAGCTTCAAAACTAGTCTTTTTCCTCCTCGTCGTTACTGAACGTTTCATCCAAATTCACATTACCTTCATAGTTTGTCACTGACTTATCATAGATCAAGGGCACTCGAACGTTAGTGGAAGTGCTTGCTTTGGTGTACAAATGCGATTCTGCAGACAAGTTCAACGGCGTCGGTGGCATTCTACCGTGAACAACTTGATAAAGATGGTTATAGACTAAACTGCATTGTTCCTCAGACATTTGCCTAAGACATACACCGAATTCTTGACGCTTGGCTGTATGAATTGCACTGGGAAGTAATTCTCAATTGTAATATGTGTTAGATAACTCTCCGACTGTAACCACCTGTCACAAATTGACTGTACGTTCACATCAGTATTACCGTATGTGCAGTAAGACAATATATGACGACATGGCATTCCGTTTTCAATATGAAAACTACACGAACACTGGGTGGTATTGCGGTTGACTGTGTAAGTGCCTGTTGCGTCAACAGCCGTGAACAAATCAACAGACATTACAAATTCATGCAGCTGGTGTCATTCATTCCTGAAGTCGACGTATCTGTGGCTCCCGACCAATAATTGCTTCCTTCCGACAGTCTGATATATACTTTTGCAGTGGTGCTTTCAACCAATATCCAGTGCATAGTAGCACACTGAATATAGATCTCAACACAGGTGTTTTTCGATTCAGCTTATGCATCTTCAAAATTTGATGAGTTTTCTCAACGAAGTTGGTATTATTTTGTTGAAGTAGCGTCGCTGATGGTCGAAAAGCAGTAGACTATTTTTGTTTTCTCGGCAGTAAATGGTCTCTCACATATCGAGAAAACGTTTCGTCGGATATTTCGATCAACGATAAATAATTGATAAAACTACAAGATAGTGTTATGTAGATTTTCATTTACCTTTCAACAGTTCGAATGAACATCAGGAGATCGTACCCTCTACAATGACGGTAAATGTTAAGGAACGAAACACTTACCCTCTTTATGGCTTTGCGAATTAGGTGTACACCACACAAAATGTGGTGAGCATTTGGATACACCTGCGTTATGGCAGCAGCTATTGCAGGTAAATCATCTGTCACAATGCCTATCACCTGTCGATTGTTAGTTGACCATTGAAAGAACGACAGGAATCGAGAAATCAAAGTCGATGTTTCGTAACTTATAAATGCAATACAAACAGGTATTGCCATAAAATTCATATCAAGGGCTACTACCTGACATAAATATACGTTCTCGTTATTTGTTTTTTACGTCCCGTCGAAACCGACGACATCAAAAAAACCAGCCACCAAATTCATTTGATCAGCAGTCGTGAAGAAAAAATACGACAGACAATTTTCTTCGTCTAATTCGTAATCGCAAAGCCCACCTAAAGACATTATGTGAGCTTTAAATTTGGCGTAATCACCTATCGTTTACATTATAAATAGGCAGACTGCTTACCAGGAAGGTTGGCGTGTAAGAACACTTTGTACCGCATATTAAATATATCTTGAGCATTCAAACGCTTTCCATAAGAATGATAAGCAAAGTGCTTAATATCGAGTGCTGCGGTCCCAGATATCAGGAGCGGTCGCACAGTTTCAAACTCTACCTCCGTTAACATGCGCACTCAATTACTGTCGTACCTCAGGGAATTGCACTTGTGATTGTGACGCACATTCCCACGTACAACAGTCCAGTAACCTTCTATAAACTTACAAAAGATGAAGGCCGGACATTGAGTGTTTATGGAAGTCCTTCGTGCAAAAAAACGTAATAACACTAATCAAATTACTTCCTTCGTCTAATCGGCTGTGACGAACTGTTAGATCTTCTACGGCCAGTTCTCCAACATACAAATTTAATATACGATTTCTGATCTCTGTCCAAATGCGAATCTCTCACCACATATTTATTTATTTGAACACATAAATATTGGTACAGGGGGGCACCAAATATATATGCGCCACACTCTCACCACATAATGACAGTACGTAAATCTTTCATAAGTTCTAATAGCGGACTTTAACGCTTCAACTGATTGGAACGCAACGAGAAACAATGTAGTCAAAAATACGTCCTCTGTTTCTGTGACAACGTGAGAAACAACAGCGCTTGTACATGGCATGTTACTCTCCTTCATGATGATGATTAAAATGTACTTTGGCCACATGTACTGACATTTTATAACAATTTCAAGACATAACTAATCAATTATAACGAATTTTAAACTAGCCATTTAATTGGACGAAACGTGGTGAAAAATTTTGGAAAATAGGATGAAGAAACTTTTTTAAAGGGGTGAAAAAAATTTATTAAAAAAATAACCGGTCGCTTAATGATATTCCTACGTATATGTGAGCACACACACATTTTAATTGGTAAACACAGTGGAATGTGACGTAGTTGTTTTCATGTCTTTTAGGTTTTGGATAAAGCATGCACCTTGTTCTTTCTTTGATAATGACCTTTGCTGCGCAATACGTTTTATTGATGACTGATTTAAGTCTTTGTTTCAATAAAAGGCTATTTGAATCACCTCTGAATGGTAAGGTGATGTAGACAGGCTTTTTTTACCGAGGCTACAGTAGGTCTCACTGTACCATGGACTTTCCATCTATTTATGGATTACAGAGGATAGCCATTTTCTATTCATGTTTTATTTAGCAACTTAACATCATCATCAATGGCGTCATTTGTACAAATACAATCAAGCCTGTTGAAAAGACACCTTATCAAACCACGTTTGTATTGCATAGGGCAATAACTGTAATAGCTAAGGTATTGACCTGTCCACGTTGGTTTTCTAAAAATGGATCGCTTGTCTTAGCCATCTTCTCATCTACTCAGAAGTATATCTAGGAAGGGGAGCTGATCGCTCTTCTCCTCTTCACATGAGAGACTGATATGGTTTTGGAGTGTTAAATTTATTTATTAAACAGTACATATCCTCTTTTCTTTCACAAACAACTAAGATATCGTCCACATATCTCTTATAAAGTGACATGTTTTCAATTAGGTCAATTAGGTTATTGCCAGTTCCAAGCCCAGATAAAAGAGGAGGATTGGGTATGGGGTTAGCGACCTCATCCCGTAGAAAACTAACTCGCTAAAACAAAAAACGCTAACCAGAAAAGATAATTTAATAAACAAGTAGGAAGTAGACGAATATCAGAAATGTGTGATATATGAGAGAAATACCATGGTACAGTGAAACATACTATAGCTACTACTGTCTACATCATTTAGAGATGATTCAAATAGTGTTTTTATTGAAAGAAAGGATTAAACCAGTCACTAACAAGACATATTGTGCAGCAAAGGTCAAGGAAGCAACAAAGTTCGTACTTCGTCGAAAACCAAAAAAGACAAGATAACAATTACGTCACATCCCGCTGTGTTTACCAATTTAAATGTGTGTGTGTGTGTGTGTATAATTACACATACTCCGGAGGAGTGATCGTGATCTCAACATTAGGGTGGGTGAACATGTACCCAAATGGCTGCAGAAACAAATATAATCAAGTGACCCTATAAGAGTAGAGGATAAACATCCATCATCCTCTATTGCTAAACATATAATTGAAACAGGGCATAAGGTTGATCTAAACTCGGCTTTTGTGGTATTTAAAGCAATTAGTCCCTTTTATGAATTTCGATAGAACAATGAGAAGACGGAGTTGATCTGAAAAATGTGATGTATTTGCGCTATACATTTCGAACAATCTGGTCACACATATACTTGTCAGGGCATTTTATATGAAAATTAATAAAGGTCAATTACATGAAAGTTAAAGTACAAACAAAAATAACAAATGGGAGAGAAAGGATAAGAAATTGTCGCATTATCCTAGGCCATAGAATGACTCAAGGATTACAAAGGTAAATTCAAGGTTACGACAGATTGTTTTTGTACACATAAAGGGGGCTTAAATTTACGAAAAGCCAAGGCTTCTATAAACTTAAGAATTCGTCCTTGACAATTTCTATACAACGTTTTAAAAGCTGCATTAATATCAATTTTGTACCCCGTTTCAATTATATGTTTTGCAATCGATGACCCTGGTTTTCTACCACCCACGTTGATCGGATCGTTTGACACACATTGATTTTGAAGCCATTTAGGCACATGTTCATTGACCCTTGATTGCATTGTTCGATTACTCCTCCCTATGTATGTGTGTCCACACAAACATGTAAATTGGTAAATACAATGGGATGTGACGTAATCATTGGTGCATTGTCTGGGTCTACTAGGAATCATGGCCTTGGACTTTTCAATCACAATCAATTGAGCAGCATAATAGGTGTTCTCGATCGCTGCTTTCAATCTCTGTCTTAAAACTATGCTATTAGATTCACCTCTATATGGTAGATTGATGTAAACTTTTTTCTTTGGGACCAAATAAACAAGAGGTCTTGGCATTAACTGACTTTTGCACCTATTAATAAACTTTAATGGATAACCATTTGCTATTAATGTGTCAGTCAGTAACTTTTCATCTTTTTCGACCGTGTCAGATGTACAAATCCTTTGAGTTCTTTTAAAGAGACACTTAACCAAGCCTCGCTTGTATTGCAATGGACAAAAACTATGGAAATTTAAGTATTGTCCCGTCCAGGTAGGTTTCCTATACACTGACCGTCTAATAGTACCATCATCCCTTCGACTTAAAAGTATGTCTAAAAAAGCCAATTCGCCATTACTTTCTGCTTCATGTGTCATCACGATATCATCTTGAACACTATTGAGTTTATCCAATAATCCGTAAACGTCAAAGTCTTTAGCACATATAATTAGAATATCGTCCATGTATCTTCTATATAGAGTTACCTCACTAATAAGCTCACTCGTCCTGTTTTCTACATATGACATAAATACATCAGCTAGGAGAGGCCCCAAAGGGCTACCCATAGCTACACCATCAACTTGCCGAAAATATTCACCATCGAACGTGAATTGAACATTAGCAGTACATAACAAAAGTAATTCTTTCAACAATGATAACGGAATAGGAAAAAGGGAAAAATTTTTAGAAATATAGTCACAAAGGAAATCCACCGTCTTTGTTAACGGAACATCAAAAGAATACAAAGACTTATCTTTAATATTAATGTCCCCAAGAAGATCAATCAGTTCAAATGTATCTTTTAAGGAAAACTTACATAGTTTAATACGAATTGGGTTTAACAATTTTACAAGCCATTTAGCTAGCTCATGTGTGGGTGAACCGCGCATAGATAAAATTGGTCGTAATGGAATATTAGGTTTATGAACTTTAGGTAGTCCATATAAATTCGGGAGAACAGAACCCGAAGGTTTTAATACATTAAACTCCTCAGTGTTTATGACGTTCATTTTAAGAAGCTTTAATAGATTGGATTTCACTCTGGATTCCAATTTTCTAACATTAATATTGGATAAAACGTCCGGTAAGAATTTACTCTCGTCACCCAGTATAGATAGCATTTTTTCTTTATATTCACATTTATTTATAACGACTACTCCTGAACCTTTGTCAGGTCTGAGGATCACAATATCTGACCTGCTTCGAAGGTTGTTTAACGCGGCGAAATGTTTAGAAGTTAAAATACTCCTTTGTCTGATTTGAGATCCGTGAAAGTGGTGGGCAACATCAACCAATTTCACCTTTAACCAATTTTTCCTATCTAGGGTGGTTGGGACTAGAGGGTTCAACTGATCATAGAGATTTTCGAATTGAGCATCTATGGATAGATCAGAAATCTTGGTATGTGCAACAGAGAAATTAAATCCGAGAGATAGGGCTTCTTTTTCAAATACAGAAAGTCTAACACTTGATAGATTTGTTACATATTTATCAGGTTTAAATTGAAATGTATTTCCATCATTATCATCCATAAGAGATTTACTTAGCTTTTGTTTAGTGGTATAATTTGTTTTAGCCACCATTGTACTGCAAAAATTCATAAATTAAATATGACATATAAGAGAAATATTCGATAATACACATGATGCCTGAGTATGAAGTTCGATTAGCTTATTTATCATATCATTACATTTTTCTTTATGAGATTTCGCAAGCCGTAAAAGATTAGAAACATTTGGATGCAACTTATTGGATCGCAAAGATTTATAAAACTGCCTTGGAAATGTGTGTGTAATAATGCAAGTCTTGTAAAACCCCAGTTTTATCTTTTCAGATGCAATTCTGCACTTCAGATTAGCAAGTTCATCTATATAAAAGTGTAAAAGGGCGCATACTAAGGTTTATCGAAGCCTTAGCCATACGAAAATTCAATCCCCCTTTGTGTATTCAAAAACAGTTTGTGCTTACCTTAAACCTACCCTGGTAATATTAGCTTATTATCTAGAGTTTTTAGGTATCGAACTGTGTCCACATTATTATTACTCTTATCATTATCCTTGTATCCTCTTACCCCATTTCCAGTCCAGTTGACCTTTTATTTTTATATATAATTGCTCTTGACTAGTATATGTGTGATCAGATTGTTCAAAATGTATTGCCCTAATATATCACATAGTTCTGATAATCTTGGTCTTCTTATTGCATTATCATAATTATTTATACCCCATTGGTGACCTAAATGAATACATAATTGCTTCAAAATAGTAATTGTTTTAGATTAAATTGAATTCAACTGAAGTTGAAATAAACAATCTGTTTGATAAATCTTCAATCATTTAACTCATATTTCAACAATGAACTAAATAATTCACCGAATTTTCAAGCTTCATTTCATCATTATCAATTTACTTTATCGTTAAAATTGAAATTGAACCTAGTGAACGTAATGTTATTCAATGATATTTATCGTGTGAATTTCATATGCATTTTAGCCGCCAGTCCAATTACTAATGTGATCTCTGTGGCCAGATCTGATGGTGCCTACGATGAATTCGATTCAGATGATTGATTCGTCAACGAAATTTCATGAGAACCGTTTCACTCTCTGTCTTTCTAATGAACATCCAAGTATTTCTAAAAAACAAGTTCATATTTTTGTCAAAACTGCATAAATACGTTCGTCCGAACAGGCGTTAATGCGTGGAAATTCAATTTGTGCATGGAACTGTGATTCTTTCGAAAAATGTGCTTTTCTTTGTGATAACGATATATCTCATTGTGGTTGTTCGTTTCTCTTCTAGATTCTGTCTTCCATTTCCCTTATTCTCCATTATCATTCTATGTGTTTTCCTTCTACATTCTGTTGTTAAAATATGTGTCACATCCCATTATTTATTCAATATTCATCAGATCTGACCATGATTGATGTACTTTGTAATCCATAAAGGAAAACCAATAAATAGTACTAAAAAAGTAATCATTGAAATGAAAATTCCTTTTCCTAGCGCTTGCTGTTTAGTTCTTTTGTTCTATTTACGATTTGTCACATTAGTTTACATTGACTCATTATCTTTAACGTAATACTCTTTCCCATACATGAATGAACAATTTAAAACAACCATGTAACCATGTTAGAAATTAGTTTTCTTTTGCAAATTAAACTCAGTTTATCATTTTACTTAGTGTTTACTATTATAAAGTTACTAGTGGATTTTTATTATTATTAATACTAATATATTTCATGCATAATTTTAATGTGATCGAGATTCTCTTTACTATTGTCTATGCTAATAATTTAGTTGTTAGTACTGTGTTTTGTTTTTAATGTTAAGTAGACTTAAATGAAAGAAATCTCCCATCCTCTATGTTTCATTCATTTTTAAACTAGATACAAATAGAATGTGTATTGTTTCACAGGAATTACAATCACGTAGAAATAAGTACAAGTATTTAACTGATAAACTATTTTAGATTAATGAGGAAGTAATTTTATGTGTATCCGTTTCTGTTTGAGTGAATTTGAAGGAATGATTATAGTTGCAATTGTATTTCTATGATAAAGTCTTGATTAAGTTTTGATCATTGAATATTTTGATGGAATAGTAAACAATTTCTCTGAAGTATTTCTGTAAAAGACTGTTGTGTGGAGCTTGCATAAATCACTGAATCTTGATATAGAAATTTATTGATGTCCATCAGCACGACGTTTACGAAAGCGATAAAATTCATGACTTCATTTACATTGAAATGCATGTTGATCGTTCTTTAAGTTATTCGGCTAGAGAATTTACCAAACTCCATCCATGACCATTGGCATTTCTTATTGTATGTCAATAAAATGTTCGAGAATACTCCTCAATAACTAGTTCATCAGGAAGAAATAAAGTGCTCAATTACTATGAATACTGCCATTGTTTTGTAAACTTCGTAAGCTACTAACAAATTCTGTGTGCAGATGCTGAAACGTGTACTCGCTTTTATTAGAATAGATATGTTTAAACACGTAAACTATTCAATCTAGTTGCCATGAGTATACTTCCTAGTGTTACTCTTTATATACTTTCAGAGGTGTGTTGATTTATGATGTTATTGTTTTACTGGACGAGAATTTATACTAGAATATTACATGTATATAATCATGTAGATGTGTATAGCATTTGTTTGTCTGTATTTATGAACTGACGTGTAGATATTTTCAAAAGAAATTTACACTGTGGTCGCTCTACTAAAAGGAAGCTAAAAATATAATTCACTTCATAAACACTACACTAATAAATTCCCATTTGAATTGACCTGTCTATTTCTACTATCACTACTACAACTCCATACAGTGAATTGAAAATAGTATCGACACGCATGGAGTGATTGTGTATATACCTAAATCCTGGATGAAGAAGATATTTCTTCGGTAGCTTTTGATTGCTCAATTCACTTCTAATAATGCGATCTCCTAACAGATAGATGGTGTTCAAATAGGTCTACGTTTGGTTCAGCATTGACTGATGTCATGTTAAAGTATTGAGAACCATGCTTTAACGAAGGCAATGAGAGGGAACTAAGCCAAAGTCGACGTACGTGTCAAATACGACACAGAAGAAAAGAAAATCTGTTTCTCATATCTCCATTTCGAAGGTGAGAATAATGGAACAAATAACCACAGAGTTAGCGCCGCAATGACGATCGCTTATCCAGCAGCAAGAATAATGACGTTATTCAAACTGAACTGCTCACTCGAATAAACGAAGATCTACCAGTCCTCTTTTCTTAGTACCTTCAAATGCATTTACGAATTTACATTTGCTTGCCAAAGTACATACAATGGAAGAACAGAGAGGAGAGTATATGTTCACATTTCCGAGAAGATTCCAAAGAATTCGAGAATGCAATAGTTCTGCAATAAATTGATTGTGAGGATATCATTGAGATTTCTCAATACTTCAAAATAATGAGCAGAGAATGTAACGCATCATCTCTCTGGGTTTGCTGACAAAGTGGCAATGAAAGAGGTAGTAATCAACTTATTACCACATCGGTAAATTCATGGGTCTCACCGAACCACACTATGGAGGACCAGATCAATCACATTTACATCTCTAACAAATTCATAAGGTCAATGGAAGACGTGAGAACTAAGAGAGAGAGAGGCCTACATAACTTCAGACCGAGACTCTGATCAGTATTTAAGAAAGGAAGAACAAGAAGGCAGTAATTAACAACAGCAGAACAAGAACGGAGAAATTTAAGACACAGACCGAATACGCAGAAGCAAACAAGCAAGTAAAGAAAAGCATTAGAATTGACAAACAGAAGTATGTGGAAGACCTAGCAACGACAGCGGACAAAGCTGCAACAGAAGGATATATCAGACAACTATATGATATAACGAACAAATTAGTAGGGTAATATAGTAAACCATAACAACCAATCAAGGACGAAGAGGGCAAGTGAATCAGTGCGATTCAAGAATGGTGGAACAGGTGGATTGGACACTTTGGAGAGCTCTTCAACAGATCAGCTCATAGAACACACTGTAGATAGATGCAACACACACACAGACCTTCCTATAGATCTCACTCCACCAATAATCGAAGAAGTCAGGATGGACGTCAGACAAATCAAGTGTGAAAAATCAGTGGGACCTGACAACATGTCAGATGGAGCATTGAAGTCAGACATAGAAGTAACTGCAAACATGTCCCATGTTCCTTTTAGGACGATTCGAGAAGAGAATCATGTTCAACAGACTTGGAAGAATGATTTCTAATCGAGATCCCAAGGAAGTAGATCTAAGCAGGTATGTGAACTGCAGAAGCAACACACTACTATCAGTACCAGAAAACGTTTTCAACAGAGTGTTGTCAAACCGAACCAAAGATTTGGTAAACATATCATTTCAAGATGAACAGGTCGGATTCCGTACGAATTATTATTATTTGTGTACCTTGATAACTCTGACATGTTACTTATGAAATAGATTATATTTAATACAATTGTACTGTTTAGTACCATATCAAGCCAAAAACGGGTTATTTTAATTTGCGGAATGTCCAGTTTATTCGTCCATCTTGAGTCACACTTTGACCTTGTCAATTATTCTCTCACAAAACTTGACTGCTTTTATATGAGCGTACGTGTGTGTATTGCTTATCCCACCCACCGCATGTCTGTGTTGCTATAAATATTGAATCACGCTTCATTAAAGGGAGTTCGCACACTTGCCTTCTCTGCTTCGCTTTCCTGTTTTTCATTCTAAATTTCTATCTAGATCAACGAGTGCTTAGAATGAATTCATCTTACTCAACCGCCGTCACACAAATCAGGTAAGCTTATATAATAGACGGAGTTAAGTGGCACATTTATATTCGTACCATATTCATACGTTCATTCATATCGGAGTCAAATTAGCAGGCCACAAACTACTAACTGTTCTAGAAGTACTGTTGCTTTCATTTTTACAACTACATTTATATTGATTTTCCTCTATACTAATAATTAACGTCTTGTATTGTTGTGTTTTCAGTGTTAAATATACTTAAATTAATTAGAGACTTTTCATATTTCTTTCGCTCATTTGATCTTAAATTAAATACAAATAGAATGTGTATTGTTTCACAGGAATTACAATCACGTAGAAATAAGTACAAGTATTTAACTGATAAACTATTTTAGATTAATGAGGAAGTAATTTTATGTGTATCCGTTTCTGTTTGAGTGAATTTGAAGGAATGATTATAGTTGGAATTGTATTTCTATGATATAGTCTTGATAAAGTTTTGATGGTATAGTTAGGAATTGCTGTTAAGCCTTTTTTACTAGATTGCTGTGAAACGTGTATCAATCACTGAATCTTGATATAGAAATCCATTGGTGTTGGTTATCAATGTGTTTTCTGTACCCAAAATCTGTAAAAGTATGCTTCAAAGTTGATCTACTCGACATCAGGTTTTCTAGAAAAGAATAGTGCTCAATTATTAAGAATACCGCTGTCATTCTTAATTTGATTAGCTGCTGGCAGGATTTGCCTGAAGATTCCGAGAAATATACTTGCAGGTAGTAAAAGGGTTAAAGTCAAATGAGTCGACAACCTGTGATATATATTAGTGAATATATTTACCAACTTATATAAACTACACGTGCACATTTGTGCATATATAAACCATAGAAGAACGTCAATAAGTCTGAACAAAATGAGAAAGTAGGGAAACATATTTCTTTAGTTAGATGGTTGACAAGTAATGGATAGGAAACACTGGTGATGGGTTTCGTGCCACTTGGCATAAATGAAGTAAGTTTATGTGTAAGTTCAAGAAGACTCACGCCCCTGGTACATTCAATCTCAACATAGGTACTAGCCTCTATCATAGACCGGTCGTACTAATCAGTTGTCAGAAATAAACAACGATTGAAAAGATCTCTAGTATCACAGAAGCAAGAAACACACTGAAATTTATCAGGGTGGATTAGTGAACTTGAAGACATATAATGAGTGTTGTAAATTAATGTACTATGTGTAAGACGATTCTGGATCATCAGACATGGTTACAAGCAATTAATTTATTATATAATGAA